ATGATAAAAATGCATGTAATATTACTATATTATAATATTAGTCCCTTAAATTTTGTTTCTACATGTATTTGTATATTTGTTACAATTGTAATAATAAAAAAACAGACTTTGATATTTTTATCATCTTATGTTACTGACTACAGTAGTGACACAAACAGAACACAGTACAGTCATGTCACATAACATTTACAAGTCTTGTAAGTCTTGTTTGTATTCAATGTAATTACTTTCCTTACCAGTTAGGCATCAGTGAAAGCATTTTTTAAATTAAATATCTGGTCCCTCTCTTATGGACAGTGCATAAGATAGGTATAATTATGCAAAAAACTGGTTTACAAAACATTCGGAAAAAAAATGTACAATAGTACTTAATCTGAATATAACATGACCTGTGCGTAGGAATAATTTGGTAAGGTATCTGTAATGAGTGCATTTTTGTGCGGAGCTTCCCAATTGCTGCATTGCAGCAACATTTGTACTTGTGTACTTTTAGTGATTATTGTTTCTTGCTGGTCACAGATTAATTGAAATGTAGTACATGAACGAGGTATGATCAAAAAGTTCTCGGCCCGATATACTTCTAGCCACTACACTGACAATCACACACGATACGTCGATACCGATATCTTACTGAAGATAACTGACCGAGTTACACGCGGTTTTACACAGATTAAGTAACATAAAACACACTTTGATCAGTAGAGGGGTGTGTCATTTAGACCAAATGGAGAAAGTTGAAATCAGAGGTGTCATTAAGTACCTCTCTAAGAAAAAGATGTCCCCAAGGAAATCCATGAAGACTTCAAGGATACACTTGGAAAGCCTTCCTATAGCATTATGAGAAAAATGAGCTGCTGTATTTAAGAGGGGCAGGGAGAGCAACGGAGATGATGAGGGGCACGGGCGGCCAAAAGAGGCCACCAACGATAAAACTGCCGAAGATGTGCACGATCTGGTCATGTGCGACAGAAGGCGAGACTTGCAAAGAAATTTTCTAGGAAAGTGGGTATATGCTTTGGATCATTTCAGGCAATTCTGACTGATGTCTATGGCATATCAAAGGTTTCCGCTAGATGATGCACCAGAATCAGACCAGGCTTGACATTTCAAGATATATTTTGTCTCGCTAGAAGAATGAACCTGATTTTATCTACCGGATCGTAACTCAGGATGAAACATGGGTCCATCACTTTGATCCAGAATAAAAAAAAACAACCAAAAAACTGAGCATGCAGTGGAAGCACCCTGGCTCAACCTCTTTGAAGAAATTCAAGAGGGTGCCATCAGCAGGGAAGATGATGGCTTCATTTTTTTGGGATAGTCAGGGGATAATCTTGACTATCTTGAGCAAGGTCGTACTATAAAAGTAAAGGTACTATGCAGACGAATTGAGACGTCTGCATTAAGAAATTGCGCGTAAAAGGAGGGGCAAACTGACTCAAGGCGTTCTGCTCCTGCACGACAATGCGCCAGCTCACACATCCCAAGTTGCGATGGCTGCTGCAAGTGACTGTGGCTTTGAAATACTTCCCCGTCCCCATATTCTCCGGACTTGGCCCCCTTTGACTTCTACCTGTTTCCTATACTGAAAGCCAAGCTCAATGGTAGACGTTTTAGAAGCAATGAAGGTGTCATGGAGGCGGTCAATGAGTTCTTTGAGGACCAAAATAGAGAGTTCTATTTTGAAGAGTTAACCAAGTTGGAACACAGGTGGGCAAAGTGCATTGATGTAGAAGGCGATTATATTGAAAAGTAAGACCATTAATTGGGTTCTCTGACTACCGGAAGTTCATCGGGCCAAGAACTTTTTATCAATCCTCGTATATGCGCATTCGTATATGGTGACCACGAAATAAATCGAGTAGCGTCTTCTCAAAATAAAACTGTGGAAGGAGATAAAAGAAACCTAACTGAAAATGCAGGCACAGTCAGTGCTCAATAATCTCGTTTCTGACAGAAGAAAATAACTGAAAAGCCAGAATGAAATAATTGAAATTCTTTTGAGAAAGTATATGGTTAAGAAATAACGGCTCACAAAAACTGTGTCGAACAGAAAGTAAAGAAGAGAGCGTCATGTAAGACGCAAGATATGAGCCGTCGAATTGTATGTTATTAAATTCTAGCATATTTACTGTGAAGACAATTGCCCGTAAATCTAGCAACAAATGAACGGATATGTACTATTACAAAACGGATCATTTTCATCCGGAAGTTGAAACGTAGAGGAAGACACTTTTGTGTCGCCTTTTAAGGCGACATAAAGTGGTTACTTTTGTCGGCGGCGTCATTGTCGGCGTCTCCTTAAGCTTGTCCGGAGCATAACTCAGTCACTATAAGTCGGATTGACTTCAAACTTGGTATGCATGCTTCTTTCAATAACCCGAAGTGCAGTGCACAAGCATCAGTACTCTACACTTCTTAATTTTTGAGTTGCATGTCTTATTTTTTGAGTTACTGCCCTTTGTTAATTTTCATACTTTATTTTTGTCCAGGTCATTTCTCCTAACGTATAAAAGCTATGGATTTGAAACTTCATAGGATGATAGATCTCATCAAGAAAAAGTGCAGTGCACAAGAACCGGTACTCTGCACTTTTTATTTTTTGAGTTATTGCCCTTTGTTAATTTTCATACTTCATTTTTGTCCAGGCCATTTCTCCTAAAGTATAAAAGCTATGGACTTAAAACTTCATAGGATGATAGATCTTATTATGATGGAGTGCAGTGCACAAGAACCGGTACTCTGCTCTTTTTATTTTTGTCCGGGTCATTTCTCCTAACGTATAAAAGCTATGGACATGAAACTTCATAGGATGATAGATCTCATTAAGAAGAAGTGCAGTGCACAAGAACCAGTACTCTGCATTTCTTATTTTGAGTTATTGCCCTTTGTTAATGTTCATACTTTATTTTTATCCATGCCATTTCTCCTAAAGTATAAAAGCTATGGTCTTTAAACTTCATATGCTCATTAACAAGAAGTGCAGTACACAAGAACCGGTTCTCTGCATTTCTTATTTTTTGAGTTATTGCCCTTTGTTAATTTTCATACTTTATTTTTGTCCAGGCCATTTCACCTAAAGTATAAAAGCTATGGTCTTTAAACTTAATAGGATGATCGATCTTATTAAGAAAAAGTGCATTGTACAAGAACAGGTACTCTGCACTTCTTTATTTTCTTCATTTTTGTCCTGGCAATTTCTCTTAAACTATATTGTTCACAAGGCGACACATCCGACTCGCGGAGTTCTAGTTATGAAGTAGCATAGATGTTTGATGATGGGCTCCACGTTAATGGTAAAAAAGTTGCTTATACCAAGGAAAATATTATTAACTAAATAATGCTCGATATAGAAATGTAATGGACTAGAAAAATGACTCACCATATCTTTACAAACTTTATAATTCTCACTGATTTATGAACACGGAATTCGAATAACATAGAGATACACTTCCTTTCTGTGATGATTTAATTTTATTCATAAAGATCAAGCATCGTAGTTGTAAGCAAAACAGCGCTGATATAGTTGCAATGGTAGGAAACTACGTCATCGCGCACCTGCAAAACTGCTCCCAATCGGACTGTATTTTTGTAAACATCCCGTTGAAGTTTGTGCAAATATATTTATTTTGTAATTCCGTCTTTTATTTGCCTTTTGTTCATTTTTGTTAAGTTTATGTTCTTGATTATTTGATTGAGAATTTTTGTGCCATTGCAAGCAACAAATAGCCAAATATTATAACACAAGCTTTTAAACGGTTACAATAGTGTAAGTAACAAAAAAGATGGTTTATTCTGGAAAATAATCTCATTTAGGAAATATTGTTTCTAGAAATCCTAGCATAACTCTAAAAACTCCTTATTTAAGGTTGTGTACATAAATGTTACGGCTCAAGTAAGAGTTTATCCTAATTTAAGATTTTATTAAATTTGAAATATGAATGAAACTGAGGGAGAATTACAATATCTTGCGCAAGAAAATTGAAGAAAAATACATGTAAATATGAAAATAGATAAAGTTACTTTCATTTTCAGTCTTTGATAACATCACTTGGTAACAGCTTCAGTATAATTTAAAATATTACTTACTTTCATGATGAATATTTGACTTATTTTGTCAATCATACATAAAATCTAATCAACGAAAGGACAACAGCTTTTCATTCAGAAAGATGCCACAGGCAAATCATGACTAGAATAACGCATGTGACTAAAATAGTCGTGACCGTAAAGTAAATCTTGTCAAAGACTTTCACTGCATCAGACCACAATATTGATTCTTTTTCAACTATCGGTATTTCATTTTCATGAATGTCAGAATTTTCAAGACCTTTATCCGTTGAGATTGTATCGGAATCGTCATCGGTTGTGTTCATTTTTGGATGGACTTTTGTAGAAGTGGTCGAACCTATATTTTGGAAAAATCTTATAACTCTCTGCAAAGAAATTGGTACCGGTGTCGTTTTATTTTCCCAAGTTGCCATTCGCACCATAAACACACTCCAAAGTACACTTGCGGTATTGAGGACGTTTAAAGAAAGCATGATGTAAGAGGAAAACGCTATATTCTTTGCGACATGAGGCATTTCATCTACCATTGCAGACGTTATGAATACAAATGAAAGATATAAAGTGATCGAAAATGAGAGACGCTCGCCTGAATTGACAGGAACAAAATTAGCCGCAAGGTTTAGAACTGTTAACAGAAGAATCGGCAGAAAAACATTTATGATTTCAAATATAGGTCTTCGTTTTAGTGTTATCGTAAACTGAAGCCTGCCTAAAGTGTATGCAACGTTCTCGGCTGAATATGTGCCTTTTTTAAAATCAGTCTTTGTGTAACGCCATGCATCATTTTGTTGAAGTAACCCGAAGGCAAAATCAGATGTGTGAGAATTCAACTTCATTTCTGTGATATCATTCAATGCGGAAAAGAAATAAAAAGTGCATTCATGCGAGTCAAATGGATACAAACTAGTGTCTATTTTACATTTAGTTACGTAGTATCCTGTAGTAACGAGGAGCACGTATCCATTAGGTAAAACGAAAACTGGGGCAAATCCAGGATTTATTATTTGGCCTGAATTCTCTTTCAATGCTCCGTTTGACTGTGATAAAGGTGGTATCCAAAGTTTTTCGTAAGGTACGGGTAACTTTGTGATCCCTCCATACTCAAAGGGATTCCACATCAAAAACTCGTCGATCCATGATATCTGAATATACATTATAGTAAGAAGCTCACTCGTTGTTAAGTCCAGACTTTCAATAGTCATAATTCCAGGAGTAATGTTGACCTGCATGTGTATAAAAAAGAATTTATTTAAATTAAAATAATTCATAAAATTATTCATAAAATTATTCATTAAATATATTTTAAACTTAATTCAGCAGTAAGTTTATTTGGAATTTGATTAAAGTATGATATGGGTTTTAACTTACTGTTAAATATTTATCCTCAATATTCAGAATTCACGTAATGTACTTGGTCGGCTTTGAGTTTTGTATCGACAGTCCTTCAAAGTTTACGATATTTGAATATCAAAATACAAAAAAGAGTAAAAGTAAAAAAAAAGAGGAAAACAACAGCACAATATAATGTCTTGTAAGATTGCACAGATGACCAGGCCAATCGATTCAAGCAGTTTAAAGATCCTGTATTTTGTAATTAAGGTTGTTACCACACTTAAATGAAATTTGATATATGTATATAACTATGCTTCTAAAACAATTTTCAAATATCGAAGAATATGTAAAATATGTACTTCAAATAATGTGTCCACATGACATGTAATCATTAAGATATATGCATTCCTTTCTTTTTGATAAATTTGCCTTAGACTTTATAGAAAATATTTTTTTGTAATTACCTCTCTTTATTAACATGAACAGTAAATTTGGAAATATCTAGAAAAAGCATGCTTTTTGGAACCTACAATTTTTATAAATCTTCATTTGAGCATTATATTTATGATATTAAACCATATAGAACTGAGTTACCGGATCTTTAAGGTTAAAGCAAAAACATACTGCATTTGAATCATGCGAACTCGCGAACGTCAACCATTACCTCCATCACTTTATCCTGGTTATAAATTGGGCGGATAAGTCTGCTGTATCTTGTGTCGTTGAAAAGATCCTCGATTAGTCTAGTCATGTCACTATGCAAGTAGCAAGTCGCTGGATGCAAGGCAGACATAGTCATCAACAGTAGAATTATTCCACATTTCTCCATTTCTTGAATCATTCACTGTTCATACGCAAATAGTGAGATCCATTTATATATTGCGTCGATGTGATAATATATTGTTCTTCAATCATTCTAATGAAGTTTGATTCAGGAATATTGATACATCAAATGGGTCTTTTGTGTTTCATTTGATTCTAGTCAATTCAATATAGAATCAAATATTTAATTATTAATTCGCAATACCGTTGGCTGTTGCTAAGTAAACATTTGCTTTGTGATTGTTATCACGATCATTCTTTAGTACTTTATTCAATTATCATAATCATCACCACCGCCAACACTATCATTATTTTCATCATCATTGTAATCATCACCACCAATACCATCATCATCGTTATTTTCATCATTATTATCATCATCAACACCATCATCATTTTCATCATCATTAGCATCATGAATAAGACTTACATAGGCGACGGTTTCTCTTTTATTAATTGTTTGTTTATTTTAAATGCTAAGATTTACTGAATCTGTCAACATCTTCATTTTAACATTATTTAATTTTGGCATGATACGTATGGGTCTCTGGACACCTCCTACTATAAAAATATAAGATAACACATGTTTAAAGTTGAAAAATGGGCATTTATTACAAAAAAATGCCAGAAAATATGTTTTATATCAGTTCCAAATTAATACAAGTTAATTTTTTTAAAACATAAATTCATATAAATTTGGGTAATGAATACATTTTTCTTCGATATAGAATGTTAAAAAAAAATTTCCATCATATTTTGGTTCAGCCAACAATTTGCGATAAAGGAATAATGTATTTAAATCTTTCCTTGAGTGCTCTGTAAACTTTGTGTCAATTCTTTTTGTCTTGCAAGTACAGATTTAAGTAAAAACAAATATTGAAATATGCCTATACTCTTTATAGCGAGAAGTTGCCATAAATGATAAGAGAAAGTAGTTAAAATGTTACGAATTTTCCATTTGCAAAACAAAGAACGTTGTGTTTGACAAGCATTATTCGTCCATAGAACTGTATCAAATGTTACACTAACTTGCTATAAAAACAATTAAACTATTAATCATTGAAAATTCGTTTACAGCGGGTACATATAAAGCGGTGTGATTAAATATAATATAAAGAAGGAATCGGCCGGGGATAGAGTTAGTTCGCTATTAACGATGATTCGTTATAAGCGATCCGTTATAAGTGGAGTCGACAGTATTGAAGTTATAATTAGTTCCAGTTGAACCATCGTCAGAACCTGCGGGTACTAATTTCGCTTAAGTTCATCCAATCGCATTATAAAATTTCAACTCATTAATTATTCATGTCTACGAATTTTCCATATCTAATTTTCCCAGGGGTACGAATGAAGTGTATGTGTAACGAGTAAGCATGAGTTACCGAGGATGCTGTTGAACTTGCTGAAGAATGTCTGTATCACTTTAATAATTATTAAATTCTAATTAACAGTCCACTTTAAGTGACAAATGAAGCATGAAGCACATGTAAGAGAGTAGTAGCAGCAGTAAAAAATGCAACAGAAGTTTGTTTAAGAATAGATCGAAAATCAGGATTTCGGAAAATTTAAAGTTATGCATATTCTTGCATTTTATTGCATGTTTATTTCATATAATTTATCACAGGCACGAGTATCGGACCTGGGAGGAAAAAATATGACCAGATTGATGAAAAACCCTGTGTTCATCTGAAATGTGTAAAAAAATAAGGAAATCAGGCATCCTTGTGCGAAACGTTCCGGTTTCGTTGCTGTTGGCTAATCAGGATACCCGTTACAAAATACCGAACAGATGATATACAATGGCGTAGACGGCAATCGAAACACCACTTGAATCTCATATCTTTAATCTTGTATCAGAGTGAGTGGTCCTTCTTAATGTATTTTGTAATATATTTTATTTCATTGAATTGATTTTGACTCGTACAGGGCTGACAAAGATGTATTAGTCTATGTTTATGCCAATGGATTTTTAGCACGAATGCGCTCGTTTTCTGATTGATATTTCATGAACAGGAAGAGTAAGAGACTAAGGTTAGTCACCTTTGGAAGCTTAATATAAACGTGAAATAGTGATAAAGGTTGTTTTTAATGGCTGGACAATCATTTTCACAACGGTCTAGGTAATGAAAATTTTGCCCGTAGGCTCGAATCTGAACTTTCCTTAGTGTATTTTAAGGGGCCCATATTTCACTGTCTATGCGTCTCCACGTCAATCTTGTCTGGACTGTAACTTTGTCATACATTGGGGGATTTTAGAATTACTATGCATAAATGTCTACCACATCAAGACGATGTGTCGCGTCTAAAAATCACGTCCATACCTCAAAGGTCAAGATCACACTACCATTTTTTAAGTTCACTTTATCACAACTAGAGTTTATAGAAACACACATTGGTGTCCGGTCTGTAACTTTGTTAGGCATCGAATAATTTCAAAATAACTATGCATAAATGTTAACCACATCAAGACAATGTGTCACATTTAAGAATTACGTCCCTACCTGAAAGGTCAAGGTCACATTATCATTTTGCAGTTCATTTTATCACAATTAATGTTAATAGGTACACACAATCTTGTCCGAGATGTAACTTTGTCATGCATCAAAGGATATTACTATAACTTGACATAAATGTCAACCACATCAAGACGATGTGTCGCGTCTAAGAATCACGTCCCTACCTCAAAGGTTAGGGTCACACTAACATTTTGAAGTTTCACTTTATCACAATAAGAGTTTATATATGCTCACACATTTGTGTCCGGACTGTAACGTTGTCATGCATCGAAGGATTTTAGAATAACTTGGCATAAATGTCTATCACATGACAATGTTGTGTTGCGTCTAAGAACCAAGTTTCTTTTCAAAGGGCAAGGTCACACTTATATTCTGAAGGTTCACGCTTTCACAATTAGAGATTATAGGTACACACATATGTGGCCGGACAATAACTTTGTCACCATAGAAGGATTTAAAAATAACTTGGCACAAATATCTATCACATCAAGATGATATATTGTGTGTAAGACCCATGCTCCAACCTCCAAGGTCATGGTCACACTAATATTTTCCTATAAGAAGAGTTTGGAGGTATACATTAGTTTCAAAACTGTAACATTGTCATGCATTGAAGGATTTAAAAAGACTTGGCATAAATGTCTACCACATCAAGATGTTGTTTCGCATCCAAGACCCTTGTCCAAAGGTGTTAAGTTTGCTATAAATAGCACTTCATTTCTAAGCAATTTGTTACTTTCATTCTCTTTTCTTTTCATAAAACCTGCATGCTTAAGAAACCTTTTCGGGTGCATTCGTCACTTGCGTGACAGCTCTTGTTAATTCATAATTTTAAACCTGAAGATATTGATGTGTTTTACTAGTTTCAAAGGCAAGTTTGGAAAGGGAAATACATGTTTTTCCATGTTAGGAATTGTGATACAAAAACCCCAATAGTACAAGTACTTGTTTGATGAAAGTAGAGACTTTTAGTTTCAATTTTTGAACATAATGTTACTGCAGCACATACATTTAAAACATGAAACAAATTATAAGTTACTAGATTAAGTCCTTCCCAGACACACATTTTTATCTGACTGCAAGTGTACTATAAATGAGCCGTGTCATGACAAAACCAACATAATGGGTTTGCGACCAGCATGGATCCAGACCAGCCTGCGCATCCGTGCAGTCTGATCAGGATCCATGTTGTTCGCAATCGGTTTCTATACTGGTTATAGAGTTTGTAAGCGAACAGCATGGATCCTGATCAGACTGCGATGATGCTGGTCGCAAACCAATTATGTTGGTTTTGTCATGACACGGTTCAAATAATTCAATGTTGAAGAGGTATTGATTGTCTCCCTTTTACGAAATTACTCGCTTTATTCCTCCGCAAAACGCCTATAAGCAGTCGATTTTTCGCAAAATATCGTCAAATGGGAGGGGGTACATTTTATTGAGTGATGGAAACAGACGCTGCTTTTTGTTTTTTGAGATACTTTAGCAGATACGTACATTTATTAATAAATTCATTTGAAACACCAAGTCCATAGTTTTTTTACTAAATTAGGACGGATATAGCAACAACAAAAAATCGATCGCGAAAATTAAGAAAAAAATGAAAACACAAACAGTTGTTTACATCAATTTGCATCATTGAATATCAAGTCAGAGAACACTTTGAGAATGTTATTTTCAGGTGATAGAGCGTATTCGGTTATTGTCAGTGTTTAAAACAACTGACCCTGTTTCCATCTTGAAACTGTCATGTTTTAATTACGTTGAATTGACCTTGTTTCAATCTTATCAGCTTTGGTGATATTAAGATTGTTATTTATAGTCAGCATGTAGTAAAGAGTATGTTTATACTACAGAAGTGTTGATTGGTTTGTGTCTATTTCTGTAGAGAAGGTCTATCATTTTCGGTTTCAGCAGGTTAAGTGTCAAATTTCTTCAATAGTATGAAGCGTAGTAGTCGGCCAACAGTATACGGAGCCTGGTCAGCCAACAGTAAGCATGGTCAGCCAACTGTATGGAGCCTAGTCAGCCAATAGTATATAGAGCCTAGTAGTCGGCCAACAGTATGAAGCTTGGTCAGTCAACAGTATGGAACCTGGTCAGCCAACACTATGAAGCCTAATCAGCAAACAGTATGAAGCCTGGTCAGCCAACAGTATGAAGCCTGGTCAGCCAACAGTATGGAGCCTGGTCAGCCAACAGTATGAAGCCTTGTCAGCCAACAGTATGAAGCCTGGTCAGCCAACAGTATGAAGCCTGGTCAGCCAACAGTATGAAGCCTGGTCAGCCAACAGTATGAAGCCTGGTCAGCCAACAGTATGGAGCCTGGTCAGCCAACAGTATGAAGCCTAGTCAGCCAACAGTATGAAGCCTGGTCAGCCAACAGTATGAAGCCTGGTCAGCCAACAGTATGAAGCCTGGTCAGCCAACAGTATGAAGCCTGGACAGCCATTAGTATAGAGCCAAGTCAGCCAAGAATATGAAGCCTGGT